CATGTAAGGACTCGTACCCGTAGCATATGCTTTCCAGTGCTGAATTCCACCCACAGCGACTCAATAACCCTTAGACCCTTTGGTGTCCATTATTAAGGTTTGCCTCTAAAAGACTTTGGTGATAAGGAATATTTTCAATCTCTCCGTCCCTGGAACAAAAATCTGTCATTCTGCAAGTGAAAACGTAGATGGTCAAAACCTAGATTCTCCAGTCAAGGGGTTTGCAGCTGTTGATAATATGGCACTAGTAAATGTTAAGAGGTATGTTTCCCCATACGATTTTTCTGCACGTATTTGGTCATGTGATATTATTTCATATTTATTCTGCACCATTGATTTTCTATTGGTAGAACTGGTATGCCCAGCTAGTGCCATTTTTAGAGCTGCGAAAGATGTGGGGGCTAATGTCATTATGGTATCCCAGGTGCCTGTGTTCTAATATTCCACTTGTTGCTATTCTTGTTATGCATGGGAAATATTAAGGGACCGCATTTTAATTTAAGTCTAAAGAACGACTAGGAAATGGTGCAATTGAAAATATTATAAAAAAATCCTAATATTTTCGGGTGGATATAACCTAAAATATTAACTTTTTTTAAAAAATTTAAGTTGCACACATTCTTCGTAACATTTTCGGTTGACAACAAAAAATATTACCTTATTCGTAACGTTTTCAGTTCAACCGAAAAAGTTAAAAAATTAACATCTTAACTAACAACGGTTGATTCAAGTGGTAATCAGCTTGATATAATTTAAGAAATGTCTCGAGTTCGAGTCTGCGTGTATGTAAAAAATCCTGGCTGGGAGACTTGCTCACCAAATTCAGATATGCGACGTGGGTCATTCTGGATTAGTCAAAGAAAAGCCTTGAAATCAGGAAGGCTACAATAAAAAAATTTAACAGTTTAGGTTGTGTCCATTTCCTACCGTTATTTAACCTTAAATTAGGTTGTGATATATCATAACTTATGGGGTGCTCATTTCTCAGTATTGATGCAGGCTAGTAGTGAGAATTCTGTTTGTTTTGCTGTGCCGGAGGAGGAGGTAAAAGAAGTTGGGGCTTTGCAATCTAGATTCCGCCAAGCTTTGGTGTTAATTTCTTTACTATTTTTGAGTGTCTGCCCCTGTTGCAAGCTTTTTACTAACATTCCAAAATCAGCTTAAAGATTTTCTAAAACTAATACCGTTGTGCAAACCATCATATATATAGGCTGTTCAATTCTTTGAAAGGCTGAATAGGTTTTGGATTATTGGTGTAATTTGGCTTTTGGCGTTTATTAGGGGTGACCGTTTGATCGAGTCGAGTCAAAAAATTTTGAGTTATTCGAGTTGACGAGTCCTATTTTACAACTCGGACTTGATTTGAAATTTTTTTGAGTCAAGTCGTTTTTTTTGAGTTTTTGTTTAAATTTAATTGTAAATATTTATAATATTATAATACTATTTGATTCCAAGTTAAGTGACTTTCTATAATCATATATACAATACAAATATATTTCTCCATATTCTTTTTCATACGTGATATACATATATCATACAAAGTTCAAGAACTCGACTCAAACTTGAAAATAAATCTACTAATTACTAAAATTTCTAGTTGTTCGAGTTGCATTTTACAACTCGGTTTGAATTTGAATTTTTTTTTAGTCGAGTCGAGTTTATGGAATTGTGACTCGAAGTCAATTAGAGTCGAGTTTTACTCACCCCTAACGTTTATACTACGACAACAATTGGTCTAATTATCTAGGTCCTGGGGCTCCGGCATTATAATTTGGGTCATGGAAACTAAAAATTGCAAGTGAGCAAAAAGAAACGTGGGATTTTTTAGGTTTTTTTTTTAATGCTAACTCAGAATTCCGTTTATGAGTTAACGAGAGTTAATGGTCAAGGAGTTAAAATTAAAACGATCGATAAAGTAAAGAATCAAATGCATTTAATTTTTGAACCGGTGACCAATTTCAATTAGACCGAAAACAAAAAGGACTATTCGTATATTCAACCCCATTTTACTCTCTTTGCTTTTTTTGGGGTTGAAGTATTCCACAAGTCCCTATGCTCTTTATATATTTGAAACTTAACCCTCCTGCCTTTATTTTTAAGAATTTAATCCCTCAATTTTCGAAATTAAAGTATTCAAATCCAATTCTTAACAGTGACAAGTTAGTATTTTTTTTTTGAATTTCAAAATGTCATATTAACAAATTTTACAGTAGAATTTTAACATGTTAATCAATAGACTTAAATTTTCAAATTTGAGAAGTAGATGGACTAAATCACTGGAAATAAAAAGATGACTAGATTTCGAATATACGAAGAAGACAAGTACTGGATGCATATTTTAATCTTTATCCCATAGCATATTTTCTCAACGGAAGCAGCATCTTATTTACACTTCCAGTCAGCCTAGAAAGAAAGTCACTGAATTTCTAAGCATTCATCAAGGGTAGTCACCGTGAACTAGTTGACTTGAATCCCAAGCTTCAGAAAAAGAAATGCAGATTCTATAATTTGAATCTCAAGCTTACCTCCTAAAAACTGACTTCAGTTCTACTACTACTGCTGTGCTGCATACAATTTCTTTTTAATTCTTCGCCAGATGATATGATGTATACCCGTGTTCCCACTTCCCACCATCTTTAATCTGCAAGCACCGTCTGTGGTTATAAGCCTAAACCCTAACAGGTAGAAGAAGCAAATACTACCATGTAGGTCAATGTGGACCATGCTTATAGTAATCGGCTTGCAACATTTCTTACTCAAAACATCCAAATTCAGTTCCCATTTTAACACCAAAGAATAGTAAACATTTAGGTAACCAGTCGGTGCTCATTGAGGGGAATGAAAAAGTTGCTTCTTCCAGCAATCCTAATCTCCAGTAAGGCAGTAACAACTAGCCTCACATGCTACACACAACTCTACTCTGTTGCTGTTAGTAGTCACAATAATTAAACAGAAAACAAAACCCGAACCTAAAACTTACACACTTTATAATCCATATAGCTATAAAACATTGAACTATAAAATCAAACTATTGAACTCTTGGATGGAAGTATGAAAGTAGTAGCCCACAATGCCAATTGATGTATAATCCAGAGTTGACTCCAGAGATATCTTAGTACTGTTGAGTTACTTGAGATATTTTTCTGTTTTCACCCATTTGGAACATAAGCAGCTCATTTTTTTCATCACAACTACAAAATGAACCAAAGATACAATCCCATACATGTAGCAGGGCAAAACCTTAAACAGATGGATGGACGTGCTTACCCCTTAGGCCCTAGTTAGAGAAGCTCAATCAGCTATCTCAAGATTTACAAGAATTGACAAAGAATTTAAAGAAGAGGAACATCATACAACCATGGCAAGTCTACTAAGTACTAACATACATTTCAGACGATAACATCACATGCAAATTACCTATACAGAAAATAGAATGTAACGGTAAATTATAACACTGCTGTTGCCACTCAAGGGCCAAAGTAAACAATCATGATCATTTGCATGGTTAAACTTAGGAGACCGGTATAATAAATCCAGAAAGGTACTGTAACCACAAGGAAGCGTATATTATAGAATCCACTATGGGAAACCAGATTCCAGTTTTGAAAATTTAAAGAAATCATTAAGGGACGTATATGGTCTAATGATCCTATAGTCAGAATTTCAAAATGCCACTAAACCATGAGATAAAGATCCTACTTTCTAAGGAAAAAAAAAACATAGTTGACCCAAAAATGAAAATACTTCAACATTTAAACAATGATATGGAGCACTGAAAGGTACTAACAAGTGCCAACAACCCTTGAAATTGATGCTCCTAATCCTAAAGGGTTACTGCATGGTGGTGGGCCAAATTTCAAAGTGCAACATTCCTTCAATGCCTCATATGTGACATTCGGTTCCTTGTGCTCCATCAGATAGTTGCACCTCACCATTATGTGAAATGGCACCAAACAAAACTTGTGTATTTCTATTGTATGCTAATTGGAAAAGAATTTATCGCATTGGTGTAACCAAATTAACAAATCCTTCGACCCATCAAAGGTTGGAAAATTAAGCTTTGTGTCCCACAACAGCACTTCAAACCCTGTTCGCAGTCCCATCTGGTTGTTTCTTCTATAATGGTTACTGTTTCTCATACTCCCATCAACTTTCTTTCGCTGTTTCATTTGAAACGAGGGCTTATAATGAACCAAGCTTGAACTAATAGACATTTGTTTATGTTCTTTTGTTTATTTGATTCGTGTTCGTTAAAATTTCATAATTGTGTTTATGTTTGTTTACATAAAAATGCATGGTTTTGTCCGTTAGTTAAATGTTTGCAAATACTAAATGAACATGTTCATGAACGTATAATTGAACATGCTAGTAAATATTTAAAAATCTATTTATCAGTGATAAACAATAAAGAATCAAGTCACAAGACAATTCATAGCTTTGATTGATAAACCTTATCAATCAATTCCTACCGAATGAAGAACCTATAATTAAATAATATATGGAACTCGCCAAAGGCGGCTCCTAACCTTAGACTTGTTGGGAAGAGAGTCTTAAACCTTTATAAATTGGAATATTTAATCTTATTTTATTACTAAGAATTATCCTCTTAAAGGGTTTTATTATTGTAGAATAAGAAACTATAATTGAAGAAACTAAAATGGACTTATCAATTGCAATAAAATATATTCTAAATAGATTATTCTAATTAGAAGTATTACTAATATAAACTTATTAGTCTTCTTTACCTTTTGGGCGTCTTTGACTTCTGTCTTTCCCACAAAGGCAACCGTAATACTTCACTACAAAATAGAAATGATTATAGCTTTAATAGAGTGCCTTCTTTTTTATAGGATTTAATATTTCAGCTAGAAATGACAGACAAAGAAGACCGAAGATAATATGTTTTAAACAGCATGCCAACAAATTCTACATGGTTCACTGATCAGAAATGCTGATTGTTCTACTTCGCACTAATATTCATGTCATTCAATAACACTATAAAATGTTACAGATGCTGTGAAATATCAGAAATCCAGCTAATGTTCATTAGGATAAGACGTAAGAAAGAAATAATAGAAAAAAGGAAGAGAAAAGAAGTCAGGGATCCCTGAGTTGCTCTTCATATCACAGGTCCAAAGTCTTCTATGGAGTCATACAATGTACAAGTACAGCTTACCTCTACATAACACAGAACTAAGAAAAACAGACGATTAACACAGAAGAGAAACTCAATACCCACTGTAACAGATAAAGACACTGACTAGGGATGGTCAGCATGTCTTTTTCTCCCACCTCAAGCTCAAAATTTAGTCATGTAGCCTCAAAACCACCTTATTGGCCGAAAGACGATGAATCCTAGTAACCATTGCCACAAAGAAATCCAGATTAACTTAATACCAGCAGAGCAATGTAATTGCAAGCATGATTAGACTAAGAACATATTGTTGCTTAGAGTGACCTCAGGATTATATCCATCACCAGGGATGGACACAAGATTTTATATTAGAGGGGCGAATTTATAAATTTTATGAGGGCGAAAACAGATTATTAGTAGAATATATAAAGAAAAAAATCTTAAATTTAAGAGAATTTAAAAATTTTAGGCGGAACCCCCCCCTCAGTTCATTCCTGTCCTTAACCAGAAGCTGACTGAGAGAACAGACGGAAACTGACAATTAATTGCAGACCTAGGAGTCTGTACTCTGTAGAACTGACACTGCAACAATGACTCAATAGTGTGTAGTGAAAAAAAAACAAAGAACATATCAAGTACACTACCTACCAGCTCAAGATCAAATTCAGAAATTCAAGTTCATTTCCAGTCCTCATCACCCCCTCAGGATCACTAAAAAAAGAAGAAGATAGAAATAGGAATCACTACCCACCAAGACTCTACATGATGAAACTTTAAAAAAGGGACAACTAAAATAAAGAAGAATAGTGGAATGATGAAAATGGGGAGTCAATAATTACCAAAGTTTTGAATCAATCATTCCCGGTAGGAAATAATGTAAGAACCTTCCTTCCACCATTCCCATTGGCAGATTCCAAATCTTCAACATAACTACTGGCCGCTTGATTATGCACAGGCATCCCTCCAATCCTATGCATTGGTTGCTGCGTCTGCCTGCCTAAGAAGGGATGCTCAAATTGGCTATTTGGAGATGACACGTAATGCCCCATTTGCGGCCTATGATACTGAGACTGTAAATGAGGATGTCCTACCGCGGCTGCCACCATTTGCTGTTGCTGGTGATGATGGTGATGCTGCAATGCCGGCACTGACACGAAGGGTAAGAAATGCTCTGAATTAGCCCTACTACCAGGATGAAGAAAGTGTGGTGGAACCGGTGAGCTTGCAAACAAACGGTCCGTCGCGGGATCAGTCGAAACCCCTAATCCGGCACCCCCAGATCCGCCATTGGCACAGCCTCCTCCACTACCACCAGACAAGCCCTGCATTCTCTTCAAATAAAGGCGATACTTCTGCAAATGGCTAGCAACGTTTTCTCTCGTCAGGCCATCAACACTCATCAACTGCATTATGGTCTTGGGGACAGCGTTCTTGATCCCCAGATGAGCCACGGCGTCAACGAATCTCTTGTGTAGCTGTGGGGTCCACACGAGACGAGGCCGCTTGAGAGTGCGAGTCGGCTCATCTCCGGCCGCCCCGTATCCCAAGTCGCCGGAATCGGCAGCGAATTCGGATAAGGAGGGTTGAGAAGGAGGGGGTGGGTGTTGGTGGTGGGCATGGTCGGGGTTACGGATATCGAAGGCGAGAGCAAGATCGGGAGTAATAAGGGATTGGGAAAGAGGCATAAGCTCCTCCGGGGATGGAAGCTGTTCCTTCCATCTGGAGAACCAATTAGAGTCTTCTTCCCTCATAATTGAATTATTCACAAAATAACGAACCCCAAAGGCTCTTTAACTCAGCTCACTGCACCAGCAACGAAAGGTGATGGAATATCAGGATTTGACTTACAAGATAAGAGGAAATCGCATGTAAGAAACCGAAATCAGATTGAGAGAGGAGGGAGGTTCGAGGTGGATCTCTGTTTTTCTTCTTTTCAGCTTCATCAAGTCTGCTGTTTCAAATTCCTATTTTTTTTTTCATTTCTAAAATAAAATAAAGGGTAAAGTATATAAATGATCACTGAATTTTTCAAATACTTTCATTTAGGTCCCCAAAATTTTAAAACTTGCAATACAATCACAAAATATTTAGTTCGTTTGCAATATGATCTCCGACCTAACGGCCGTTTCACTACCGTTAGGGTAAATTATATAAATTTTCACTAAACTTTTCAGGCACTTGCAATTAAGTCCCCTCCAACTTTTAAAACTTACAACACAATTGTCGATTACATTTTAAACCCCAAATTCCAAAATATTTCAATTACATTCTAAATCTCAAATTCCAAAATACTTCAATTATATGCCCAACCCCAAATTCATAATTCATTCTCAAAATTTGTCATAACAAACTGAACTTGAAATAATAACCCTAAACTAAAATAAGAGTGAGTGAGTTTTTTTAATATAAAACTCTTTTTTATTACCTTATTATAAAAATATCCCTATCCAGCATTATTTAAAAAAAAGACTTAATCGAGTTTAGCATTTTGATAAAAAAAAACCTTGCATTCTCTTAAAGCAAGAAATTTTTATGGGATTTATGATAAGTACCTCACGTTCCGCACAAAGTGAGGTCCCTTTCTCACATGTATAATTGATTGAAACTGAAAAGCTGCATCTTAAAAATATTGAATTTAAAAAAATCTTAACTAAAAAATATAATCTTAAAAGATTTTAAATAAAAATTTAACTTAAATGTTCTGGGACCTCGCATTCTGCACATAGTGAGACCCCTTCTGACACATTGGAATTGATTTAAATTAAAGTAGCGTTTTTCAACGAACAACGAGTCCTGCAAAGCGTGAGTTCCATTAAATCCTCATTTCGAAAGGAGTGTGAGGTATGTTATAAATAGGTGTAACACCCTAAAATATGGATTAGGAGTTTTAAGTTTAGGGTTTAGGATTAAAACTGAAAGATGCATCTTAAAAAAATTATAATTTTTTTTAAAAAAGATACAATTTTAAAAAATCCTAATTAAAAAATATAATCTTAAAAGATTTTAAATAAAAATCTCGCGTTCTGCACATAGTGAGATCCCTTCTGAAACATTGGAATTGATTTAAATTAAAGTAGCATCTTTTCAACAAACATCACGTCCTGCCAAGCGCAAGTTCCATTGAATCCTCACTTCGAAAGGAGTACGAGGTATTTTATAAATAGGTGTAATGCCCTGAAATACGTGTTAGGAGTTTCGGGTTTAATCATTTAGGCTTTAGAATAAATTTCTCTTAGCATATCAAGCTTTGGATCCAAACGGATTTAATTTGTTCCATAGATGAGCCCAACAAGTTATAAAAAGGGGTGTTTTTAATTTGGGGTTATTTATAGGGACTAATGGAGTAATTCCCATTAATTGAGATGATATCATGCAGGTTGCTTCACATATCTTTTTCTTCACCAATCTTGTCTTTTTCCTCTCTTCTTCTCCATCTTCTTATTTCACAAGTCAAGAAAAAGGCCTAAGCTTTTTAGTTTTGCAAGCTTGTTTCAGAATTCTAAGGTAAGATTCATGAATTACTGTAACACCCCAAAAACCAGGTTAGTAGTTTCGAGTCTTATTGTTGGGTCTCGAGTAATTGCTTAAGGCTAAATTAAATCAATTGGGTCAAAGATGAGAGGATTGGGCTTGTAAGAATCCCACAAAGTGATAAAAATGAATTTTTTTATTTGGGTTTAAAAAAGGGAATACCAGGGAAGAAATTTTACCATGGTTTGAAAATAAGGCTGAATAACAATTAAGAAGGATGATGCAAATGGGAATAGAAAGTTGAAACTCTTTTCCTCGTTTTCGCCACCTTTTGTCTTCTTCTTCTCCTCACCATTGCTTTCTTCCTCCTTTCTTGAACATCAAAGGTGAGAACTTTGTAGTCATACACAACTAATCCATATTTAAAAAGGTAAAAAAGTTAATCCTCATCTCTAGAGCTCCATTTCTAGCTAAGAATCATGAGGTTTGGCTATGGTGTCATGATATAGGTTTTTGAGAGGTTTAAGCTCTAAGGCTTGGAAATGATTCTGAGTTATTTTCAAGGATTTAGAAGTTTGTTTCCAACCTATTTAAGGCTTAAAATGAGTTTGTAATTCCTTTGTTTTGATTGGTTAGTGAGAGAAGAGAGAGTGCTCAAAGGCCAATAACAAAGACAAGTTGATGCTTGGGTGATCTTTGGAGCCTCCTTTCATCATCTAAAGCTAAGGTAACATATAAGTAACTCTCATTTATCATATGTAAGCTATGAATCAATGTGTGTTTGCTTGTTGTATTCATTTGAGTGCAAAGTGGGTGTTAATGATATCATGCTTGATTGATGTTTTTGTTATGTTAAAATGACTCATTATGGTGCGAAATAACCCCATAAACTTAAAAATATTTTTGTAACCTTAAGGGGGCTTACGAGAGGCTTTGGGAAGCCATTTTTGTGCTTAAACAAAGCACACAGGATTGTCGGTATCGGTACTATAGGAACAATATTGATATTTTTCTTCGCATAGTATGAAAATAAGGCAATTTTAAGGGTAAATATCGATATCCCTTCAATGAGTATCGATACTCGGGTTTTGGTATCGATACCGAAGGGTAGTATCAAGACCGAGGATGCTTTGAAGGTTTCAGAATATAATATTGATACCGATAATGATTGGAGTATCGATACTAAGGGGTAAGTATTGATATTCTCTATTAGGGTATCGATACTAGGAATTAAAATGAAACATCGAAGCTAAAATTGGTATGAATACTAAGGCCATTATCGATACCCTAATGTCAGTATTGATACTGATAGGCTTAGTATCAGTACTGACAGACCGTTTTAGGTAAAAAAACCTTTGCTAACTTTGGAAGATTAAGAAGGGGTTTATAGGGGCATCGAGGGCTCTTTAATAAGACTATAAGTGATAACATTATTCAAAACCCTTATGAACAATAACACGAAATTATGTAGCATAAAACTAGTCTTTGTATGACACTCAGAAAACATCAAGGACACCCGGGTTACTTGAGTGATCACATTTATTATTCGAATATGTATATAGAGATATCCAAATTCTTTTCCCCAGTGTTATGACACTTTTATATCAAGTGCGAATGCACTTTTGTACCAGTGTTGAGGTACTTTAGTATTAGTGCTGAGGAACTTTAGTATTAGTACTGAGGCACTTTAGTATTAGTGCTAAGGCACTTCCGTTATTTAATGGCAAGCTCTATTATGATTTATATGATGTATTGTACACATCCTTATGCTATGACCTATACTTAATGCATTTCGTGATATGACTTAACTTGCTAAACATTCATAGTGGTTGGATGCATGTAGTATAGTGAAGTCATTTATGTGGCACTGAGCATGTAGCTCAATGTTTGGAATTGTTTATGTTCACAGGTTAGTAGGTACCGAATCTCGGGAGCTTGTCACCAGACAGTCAAATTTCAGATATCAACAGCTGTAAAGTACGTCTTGATTATTTTAGTGGGCATGTATTTCATAGACCTTTATGTATTCGAGTAATAACTTTCGATTAATGTTTTTTGTTATTTATTTTGGGAGCTCCATGGTTTTGTAAACTTAACTGTTATCATCTCGTTTGTTTAAACCATATTATTTATGAATTGAAAATGGAATGTTTAAAGAAATTTTTTTGGGTTAGCCACTTCGGTAGTCCATATAATGCCCAAACCTATGAGGTTTTATTTTAATTGGATTTAGGTGTTACATTTAATGGTATCATAGCGTCAGGTTTTGTCGTTCCTAGGACCCGCGGGTTAAAGTTAATAAGAGCCATTGATTTACATGCCCCTAAAGTGTCAGTGTACTTGGTTATCTGGAAATGGTGATAATAACTCCATTCCTTAAACCTTGTAGGTTATGATTGATGACTCAGCTCCCAACCAGAAGGGTCGTAATGAGAGTCCAATTTCACTCGCCAGATATGTCGACGATGAGTACATCCCGGACACTTATGAAAGGGATGTTCTAAAAGGCACAATGATAATTGAGGCCACCTTCTTCAGGGATCTCACTGATGCCCTTAGAAATATTGTTCGAGCTATTCCAAGAGCAATCGTTGCAGTTACCCAACCACTCTAGCACCAACAGCAGCTCAGAAGTCCCCTATAGAGTGACTCTGACTCTATAAGACTAGAATTTTTTGGTTTGGGAGATGACGATCCGATAACCATCGATCAGTGGCACCGTGTGATACTTCTCACCTTGAGACAGATGCACAATACCCGATAGAGTAAGCTGGAGTGTATCACTACTCTGCTAAAAGGTGATACCAACGACTGATGGAGATATACAAGTTATCTTTAGAGCCTGAGAGGTCGACATGGGAGCTTTTCCTTGAGGAGTTCCGATAGAAATATATTGGGGAGGCGTATGTAGGTGATTTGAGGGATCATTTCACCCTTCTCATCCAAGAAGACCAATCAATGATAGTGTATGAGTGTTACTTCCTTCGTCTGAGTCCCTATGTGCCCAAGTTAGGATAGAGTATCATCATTGTTGGAGCTTTAGAGAATGACTCCACATCAACATCCTCACGCAGTTGGCTGTCGACCCCCTGCGAGTTTTCATAGAGCTGACCTGTCAGACCAAGGCGATTGAGAGGATTCTGCTGAGAAGGATCAACATGATAGGAGATTCAAGAGGCCAGAGCTAGAGAGTATCAGATTCTTCATAGCCATTCCAACCTTCGGCCAAAACGGGCAAAGAATCTCGTAAAGAACGAAGGTCCCTACCATCGTAGTCTAGGAGAAATGGACAAAGTTTTGGACGCCACCAGGGATCTTGGTAGTGTAGGATACCATTGACATCGGCCTCAATGGCTAACAACAGAGGTTTAGGCAGATGAGCACAACCTCTATAGTGCAAGCATTACGAAAAAGTGACATTCGAGGGAGTGTTATCGGGTTACAAAGGCTTGCTTCAGTT